CAACCCCCCAAACCTTCCTGCGGGTGGTGAGTCCACTGGAAGGTATTAACCGCCCTAACCGGGATTCGAACTTGTCCAGGAGGTGAACCCTGGGGTTCCACACCAATGACAGAGACATTGCCTCTGGGCCAAAGCGCCACTAAATATATATTATATATGTAAATATAATATATCCATCCATTCATTTTCATCCGCTTATCCGTTACCCGGTCGCGGGGCAGCAGTCTCCACCCAAATCACACTGCACCATACCAACCCCCCAAACCTTCCTGCGGGTGGTGAGTCCACTGAAAGGTATTAACCGCCCTAATCGGGATTCGAACTTGCCCAGGAGGTGAATCCTGGGGTTCCACACCAATGACAGAGACCTTGCCTCTGGGCCAAAGCGCCTCTAATGTAATATATATATAATTTAAATATATATAATATGTTTTCCAGACTTCCATTTCCATTTGTGGATTTCTCATTACTGCATTATGGTAGCACTTTTTATATCTGGAATTTGTTAGATTTGTTTGTGTTTTATTATGTTTTTGTTTGTTCAGGAAAAAAGAATCTTTGACCATTGTGACCCGATGTATCAAATATGATACAAATTGAAACTCTATATATTAATCTATATATATGGAAAATTATATTTGAATTTTTTTGTTGAGTTTGTTTGTTCAGAGGGACCAATAAAGTCCAAGTTCAAAGAATTGGAATTTTCTGTCAATTATTTAATGGTTTGGGCTTTACAGGGTTAACTAAAAGTCAAGATTATTACTGTGTGCTGAATGCATCTCATCATCATCACTCTGTGTAAGCCCTGTTTATGTTTGCCTTTGTGTGGCACATGTCTGTGGTCATGCACACTACCACTCATTAGCACTCACAGAAATAATATTGTAAAATTAGCCATTAAAATTGACCTAATGTTTTCTGTAAATATGTAAATGTTACCATATTCGTCTGCTTTTCTCTTTGTTTCTTTGTGTCTTTCAGTCATGGCGACGATATGATTGTAACCCCATTTGCACAGGTGAGAATCCCTGTCTGTTGTCATAGTGTTTTGTTTTGTTTTGGGTTTTTTTTTACTCTGTTAACTGAATAATCATTCTATCATAATGTCTTCAGGTTCTTGCCAGTTTAAGAACTGTACGAAACAACTTTGGTGCATTAACTAATCTACAGCAAGACAGAGCGTCCAATAAGTAAGTTTGTTAGACCTATATCATAAACATATTTTTCAAAATAGTGTTCCTTAATGTGTGGGACTGATTCGAGTCCACCTATTGACTGCGCACCCTCTGCTGTACAAAACGGGTACTACAATAGCAGTGCTTCTGCAGTAGTTAGTTTTTATTGAAGTATTTTAGGCAGTGTTTCACTGTGTGTGTGTTTGTTTCTATCATTCCAGGATATCACCAATGTGTAACCCTCCGCCTATCACCAAGACCACCTTCACAGGTATATACTGTAGACAGGAAAAACAAGATGCTCCGTATTCACTTTTTGTGTGTGTGTGTGTGTGTGTGTGTATGGGTGTGTGGGGACGGTGCCGTGCTCAGAGCTAACTCTGAGGTAACTTGGTAGCTGGTGGAATCGAACCTGAAACCTTCCTGAATCAAGTCCACTTCCTTAACCACTAAGCCACCACTGCCCCATGAAGTGGCCAGTAAATGAATATTACATATTTTCCAGTATTTCATTTAGAAAAAATATATACATTTCATATTTATATTATAAGCTTCATCAGATCACAGTGTATTATTTCTTCCAGATCATCACTTTCTCTTGTCTGCATCTTTTCTCATCTTCCTCCTCCTCTTCTTCCTCCTTTCCCATCCTCTCACAGTCCAGCTTCACTGTCAAACAGCTCCAGTACATATTTTGGCTGAAACCCTGCGTCTGTGCAGCAGAGTGGCCTCTGTGAGTGCCAGTATCTGATCATCAGCACTAAGCATGAGAAGAATGTCATTGACTTCAGTGCAGTTGCTGTCAGAAAGAGTAGCACCTCAACTACTGACACCGCACCAACGAGAGAGAAAGAGAGAGCAAAAGAGATAGAGAATATGGGGCGAGAGAGCAGGAGAGAGGAGAGATAGCGGGAAAACAAAGAAGGGAGGAGGAACAGGAGGAGGAAGAATGTCCACGGAGCTGTGGAGGAGACGAAGCCAGTGGGAGTGGAAGGGGACAGACGGGAGGAGAAGATAGTCAAAGACAGTGAACTGAGGAGTGATTAATGTTGAAAATATCAGGTGTCAGTGGGAATTTCAGTGCTGGTTGGAAGTCATGACCATTTCAATTATTCAGACAGAAATCAATGTATGTACTGTAGTAATACATAAGGACGAATGTACATTTTTGTTTTTATTTACAAATATTTTATTTATAAAACATAAACTTATGTAGTAACTGGTTATTGCAGCACGTGGGACTTTTAGGTCACATCCACATTGTTTTTATTTTTAATATTTAATTACTCAGGAACATGATCTACTGGTCCTCTCAATGATGTAGCAATTATTTTGAATATTGGACAGAACTGGACCATCACAAGGACAGTTAGGCACGTGTTCTTCATATCGCTAAGCTACACTACTGTGATTTGTGCAGAATGAAGCCTGGCATTGTCAGTCTGAAAACCTCCTGACAATTAACGTCATCCTGACAGTTTATTAAATTCCAATAGAGGCTTCTGTGTCCATGGTGCCTTCAGATAATAGTTAACAGGTCTCATTCACTAAAGACATAAAATCAATCCTCACATACTGTGTTTGTTTGGCAGTAGTTAAAGTAGTGTTGCTTTTGGACCGGAAACATATAAAAACCAAACATTAACCAACATTTTTCCCCAAAATAACTGAACCACAAACTCATCTGACCACTCAACGTTGTCTGTAACATTCAGTTCACCCTAAAAACTAAGCTATGCTTCTACACAGATTTGATGTTTGACTTCTGCCTATTATTACACACTTTTTACTTACTTTCACTACGTACTTTTATGCAGCAGTGAAACCAGACACTTTGATTGTGTTCAACTTTTGGAGTGCTTTATTTGCTGAAAAGTTCTCCATCATTTGACAGGCAAAATTCTATTGTTGGTTAAAATTACAATTGATTTAATTGCATTTTTAGAAGTTGACCTAGTTTTTTCAAAGCAGTATTTTTTTTTTTATTAGTTTAATTCCTGTCACAATGAGCCATCGACATGGCAGGAAGCAGGCAGGACCCAAATGCAGGAGTGGTGCAGGTAGTTTATTTCAAAAAACAAAATTCACTTCCAAAGACCAGGACAGAAGCATACACAGAGCCGAGCCGAGCCGAGCCGAGCCGAGCAGAGCTGAGAACAGGAACAGAGCTGAGCTGAGCACAGCAACAGACTTACCTTGACCTTGACCTTGAACAGGAACAGGAACAGGAACAGGAACAGGAACAGGAACAGGAACAGGAACAGGAACAACACACAAACACAGTACACAACACAATACAATGATCCCACAAGGCCAGAGTGAGGGAGAGAGGTATATATACAAAGAGCACCAGGTGACACAAGTGAGACTAATTACAGAGACACAGGTGAGTGTGATAACACAGATTACTCCACACAGCAGACAGCAGGAACAGGAAACAGACAGACCTGACAATTCCTCTCTCTGCAACTGTCACATCCACAGATGAAACACCATTAAGAGCCCATGCATTCCGAAATGAGTCTAGGCATCGATATAAATCGGCTTCAGACAAGGTGACATTTCTGGTCATATCATTTCTCATGCTGTGAGAAAAGCAATCACTGGTTTGTTTTGTCAAATTAACTATGTCACAGATGATGCAATTGGTTTTCTGGTTTTGGTATTGGTTTTGCACTCAGTCAGTACAGGTAGCTGGCAGCTCTGACTCCCCTCCTCTTAAACTCCAGTCCACGTTTTTCCCTCCCCCTTCCCATCCATAGTGCAGTCCTCTCAGGCTTTTGGTACAGCTTGGGTAGAGCAGCACGTTTGGCTACCAGGGACGCTGAAGCAACAGCAGCCCACCCTCTACACACACACACACACACACACACACACACACACACACACACACACACACACATAGACACAGGGCATCTATAGGAAACATTGGCGATCACACATACTCACAGCACTGGATTATACTGACTGCTTCTGGGATAACATGGATTTTTTTTTGGCAGAGACACAGAGGAGGCATGATCATGATGTGTTATGGTTAGCGTTTTGTCTGCTTTGGTGTGTATGTATGCATGTGTGTGTGCTTGTTCATGTTTTTGTGTGTGAGTGTGTGTGTAATGTCTGTGCATCTGTTAAACCAGTCCAGGTGTTGAGAACAATCTGACATGTGTGTTCCATGTCAGACAATATTGACATAGAGCTTGAATGGTAGTGATGCTCATTTGCACCATCCCTGTATTCTTCCATTCATCCTTCTCTCTGGCAGACATGGGCCTGCTAAGCAGACTGTTGTTCATTCTACTACATGACTGGGATTACAGCACCTCTCTTCTGAATGACAGAGTAATCCTCATACACCAGGATCACTGACTATGACATGTATGCTGTAAACAAGGGACAGTGTGTGAGCGTGTCTGTGTGAGTGCGTCTGTAAGATCTCTGTGTTTTGCTTTGTGGTTTCCCCTCCGTCTTTTTCTGCTGTGGTTTCCACTCATTCAGAAACACATAACTGCTCCAGGTGGCTGTTTGCCATGATCGCCTGCCTCTCAGCTCCCTGGAATTGCCTTTGACACTCTTAAAAAGCAGGAATCTGGGATTTGAACAATTGTTCATGCATTGGAAGTTTTTTTTCTTTCTAACCAAGGAACATTTGCAACAGCTGATCATCTTTGAGTTAAGATACAGAGCTAATCCCCAGGCCTGCACGGCTGTCCAGTATGAAGAGTCACTCATGTGTCTTCTCGGGGTATCCCAACTTAGCTGTTTGTGGGGTGGGAGACCCCGGGCCTGGACCATCCACTAGTCCTCTGAAGCAGGCCCTTACTGACCCCTTGCCCTCCTGTCTTGCCACTACAGAGGAGGCCTACCAGAAGCTGGCCACCGAGACCCTGGAAGAGTTGGACTGGTGCCTGGACCAGTTGGAAACACTGCAGACCAGACACTCAGTCAGCGAGATGGCCTCCAATAAGGTAAAGATAACAAAAGAAGAAGTTTTGAACATGCACTGTGTTATTTACTGAATGGCAATGAAGAAGCTGCTTCCCAGAATTCACTGCAGTGTTGTGTTTTTATGGCTGGGGTGTTAAGGATGTGGTAACAAAACAAACAAGTGGTGTTTGTTGGACTATTGCAATTGTTTAGACATCAGACAAAGAACTTTGCTGCATTGCATTCACAGGCTAAAAATTGGTTTAAAATTCCAATTTGTAGCTGTATTTTTTATAGCATTGTTTTGGATCAGGAATGATTATTGAAGGATTATAATTTGTTGTTGTTGGTTATGTTTTTTTTTCAGAGTCGTTTGATTAAAGATGGATGTAAAATTTCCTTGGTGTCTGCAGTACCATGTAATGTTGTCTGGATGTGGCCACATATTTTATCCAACCCCCCCCCCCCAAAAAAAAAAAAAAACAGATTGTGGCTGAGATGTTAGCATTGGTGTGTAAAATGCAATATGGTGTAAGATGACGTTTGTGATATGTATAATACACATTAAATATTATAAAGGGTGTATGGTGTGTTTGGAGGGAAGCTGCTCTGCTGCTCTGAATGCTGATCAACTCTGGGCTCTGGTGATGTTACACACTGTGATGTCATGAGAGGAGGGATGAACCAAGAGGAGAAGCAGGGAGGACATGCACACAGATAGACAAAATAAATGGTACAAAGACAAACTCACTCTCACAGGCTGATGACGTCACCACCATCACAACCCTGGCCTGCTCATGTTCCACCTCATCTGAATGAGGAATGATTTGTTTCTGCCAGGTCCTCTGTGGCCTGTATCACCATTACTCACCAAGAGAGCTATCTGCAGTTGTCATGACAACAGCCACAGGCCCAACCATCTTTCACACTAAGCGAAATACAAACACAGACACACACTCACTCTATAGGTAATACAGTCACTATATCTCCCACACAGACAGTGAGTGTCTGTTAGCTGCAGACTGTCATTTATCAGCATTTAACATCGGCCACGAGTCATCAATGAGAAAAGGAAAATAAACGTCTCATTTGCATCTCCAGTTAAACAACCCAACTTATCACTTAGCCCATGTGTGTTGTCTGCTTACAGAGCTGTCATGCTTCAGTGATGACTGGTAATCACATCATGCATCTTTTGTGTGGTAAGCCCAGGTTGTGCCACAACAGATTAAATGGGGGTGGCATGTCGCTTACCACCAAACACATTAACCACGAGTGGACATATGTGAGAAAAATAATATGAATATGTATGTATTTTATAGCAATCACATTGTCATTGAATTAACCACTGCTTCCCTATCTCAGTGTCCCTAACCTAACCCTAAGTCAGTTTCCAATATTGTGATTGGATTGCTTCCCTCTGGAAATGCAGCAGCCTGTCTTGTTAAATGGAGATATGGAGAGATACAATGTTAAATAGAGAGTTTCTCTTTTTGGAGCAAAATTGAGTGAAATGTTGTTCTCATGTGGCGCTTTGGCCCAGAGGCAATGTCTCTGCCATTGGTGTGGAAACCCAGGGTTCACCTCCTGGGTAAGATCGAATTCCGGTTAAGGCAGTTGGTACCTTCCAGTGGACTCACCACCCACAGGAAGGTTCATTAGGGGTTGGTACAGTGCAGTGTGATTTGGGTGGTGGTCATAGAGACTGCTGTCCTTGTGACCCGGTAATGGATAAGTGGACAAAAATGGATGGATGGATGGATGTTGTTCTTGTGATGCTCCAACGTTTTTCGCTGGTAAATTGTTTTCATCTGTATCAGTTAATAGTTCACAGCAGTTGATTGTTTTTATATAATTATTATAAAGATTTAAATCATTGACTTTTGATAGGTGTGAACACAGTTTTTGTCAGAATTTTATAATGCTTATAATAATATTGCAAGTTTTTGTTATTTTTCACAGTAATATTGACATATTAAAACAATGACAAACCTATTGTTTTCATAAATTCATTCTATTCAGTTCAATGTAACAAAAAAAAAAAAAAAAATACCATATTTGTCCCCAGGTGAAAAATAAGAGCACACATAGCAGTTGTACATGAAACAGTCAAAGGTGAAAAAAAAATATACTTCTTTTCCTTTCGACTTGTTCCTTTTTCAGGGGTTGCCACAACGAATCATTGTCTTCCATCTCCCCCTGTTCTCTGCATCTTCTACTCTGACTCCAACTATCTGCATGTCCTCTCTCACTGCATCCATATATCTCCTCTTTGGCCTTCCTCTTTGTCTCCTACCTGGTAGCTCCATCTCTAACATTCTTCTACCAATGTATCCACTGTCCCTCCTCTGCATATGTCCAAAACATCTCAATCTGGCTTCTCTAGCTTTTTCTCCAAGCCTTCCTGTCTGTGTTGTCCCTCTAATGACCTCATTCCTGATCCTGTCCATCCTTGTCGCTCCTATAGAGGATCTTAGCATCTTTAACCCGGCCCCCTCCAGCTCCCCCTCCAGCTCCGCCTCCAGTCTTCTGTCTATTCCTGTATGGTCTGTCTAAACCATACATCATGGCTGGTCTCACCATCGTCCTGTAAACCTTTCCCTTCACCTTAGCTAACACTCTTCTATCACAGATCACTACTGACACTTTTCTCCAGCTGTTCCATCCTGCCTGCACTCTATTCTTTACCTATCTTCCACAGTCTCCGCTGCTCTAAACAATGTATCCTAAGTACCTAAACTCCTGCACCTTCACCACCTCTGCTCCTTGTAACCTCACCATTTCATTGTTCTCCCTTTCGTTTACACACGTACTCTGTCTTGCTACAACTGACCTTCATTCCTCTTCTTTCTAGTGCAAACCTCCACCTCTCTAGGTTCTCTTCTAGCTGCTGCCTACTCTCACTACAAATCACAATGTCATCTGCAAACAACATAGTCCATGGGGACTCCTGTCTGACCTCATCTGTCAATCTGTCCATCACCACAGCAAACAAGAAGGGGCT